AAGCAATGTGGTATATAGTGTTTGGGCATGCATTCTGCAGAATCTAACAGACCTAGATCCTGCCACGGTCCACCAGGAAAAAAGCTAAGCGATCTACTTAAAGTTTCATTCTCAGTTTCTGTGTCCATAAAATGGGCATCAGGACAGTATCTAACACCTCAGGCTGTCTTGAGGATTACAAGTGATAAATCATAGGGAGTATGGTATACCTGCTGATCAATGTACACTTCCCACTAAGTTTGAGAAAAATAAACTTGTGCCTGATTACACATAGGGATTCAGAGAAAATACGCATTTTAAAAATTAAAGCACTACAAACAACCTAGACACTCAATAACCCCGTCATATAAATCAGACTTGACATTTTCATAAGTAAGGAAAAGTCTTTTACACTCTTACCTATATTTAATTTAAAAATTTTAATGTTGATATAATTGCAGGTGTCCCTGTCCCTCTTTTTCCCACCCTTTGCCCACCTCTAGCCACACCTCTCTCCCCCTCCCTTGATCTTCACCAAACTATTGTCTGTGTCCACAGGATATGCATATATGTTCTTTAACTAATCCCTTCACCTTCGTTATCCAGTCACTCCACCCCCTCCCCTTGAGCACCAGCCAGTCTGTCCCATGTATCCATGCATCTGGTTTCATTTTGTTGGTCAGTTTTTTTGTTTTTGTTTTTTCCATTAGAATCCACATATTAGTGAGATCATATGGTATTTGTCTTCTCTGACTGACTTATTTCACTAATGTAGCATAATACTCTCCAGGTCCATCCATGCTGTTGCAAAGAGTAAAAGTTTCTTCTTCTTTCATAGCTGCATAGTATTCCATCGTGTAAACGTACCATAGCTTTTTAATCCACTCATCTGCTGATGGGCCCTTGGGATATTTCCAGAGCATGGCTATTGTAAATAATGTTGCAATAAACATAGAGATGCATATATTCTTTCTGATCGGTGTTTCTGGATTCTTGGGATATATTCCCAGAAGTGGAATCACTGAGTCAAAAGGCAGTTCCATTCTTAATTTTTTGAGGAAACTCCATACTGTATTCCACGACAAAACTTGGAGTCATAGCAATCTTATCTATTTTTTAGCAGACTGATCCCTTCTAGTTAAATTGTAAAGATTGCTGTTTGGCATATTATAAGCATTTCTGTATGTCTGAGGATTCAAATCCAGTGTTGTTGTTTTTTAATTTATCTTTACTGCTGAAAGTATTACAGATGTTCCCTTTTCCCTCCATTGTAAAAGAAATATTTCAGTTTTTCCTGAGGTTTTTATTTTTTTTATTGCTTAAAGTATTACAAAGAGTATTACATATGTCTCCTTTTTTCCCCCGCCCTTGACAATCTCCTGGCCTCCCCTACCCCCCTAGTCTTATGACCATTGGTTATGCTTATATGCATGCATATAAGTCCTTAGGTTGATCTCTTACCCCCCTCCCTCCTGCCCCCCAACCCCCCCTGGCCTTCCTG